CCATTGCTATTGAATATACACTGAACTTTACATCCGAGGCCGGAACCCTCGACAACCATTCGACGCGGCTACTTGTCCCAATCATAACCACGATCATTCTGCATATTGCTATAAACTTGACCCCATGCAATTCCAACTTTCCCAATTGAGGTGGCCCGATTACCATCGACGAGAGCCCCGAACCGGACCGGAAGCCAGCAGAGGCACCACCATCAGCGCCACGATCCATTCTTCGTCGCACCCGCAGCAAAGTTAATCCTGACCAGGAGGCGATTTGTGCTGAAATACGAGTGTGTCTTCGTGAGCATGTGCTTTCTATGCGGCTTCTCATGTTGTTTCAGGAGACACAAGTCATGAATCCATCCCCGCCCTCGGCTAGAAGCACTTCAAGAATGCCTCTTTTGGATCGCGAACCTCCTGCTGTGACATAGACGCACATGATTTGTGGGGCATGTCCTGATCGAATGTATATTAACACTGTGCTCACACTTCATGCATGGATTCGACTTAAGGTTCCAAGTGGTGAGCTGGCGACAGCTCAAGATCAGAATATTTTGCGGGCGATGCGACGCCCGGCCAAGAAAGGACGTCGTGCCCATGCCAAGGCAAAAGCGAAAGCGACCCCCAAGGCCAAAGCCAAGATCGCTGCGAAAGCAAAGGCTTTCGCAAAGGCGAAGGCGAAAGCAAAGGCAGCGGGAAAAGCAAAAGCGAAAGCTTCTGCAAAAGGTATGGCGAAGGCAAAAGCCAAAATGCCGACGGAGGCTGCGGAGCATGCAGCAATCCCTAAGGGTCGTGGCCGAGGCGGTGGCAGAGGCCGAGGTGCTGCCGCTGAGGCGGCCGTTGTGGTTGCAAAGCCGACTGGTGCAGCTTCGAAGGGTCGTGGCAGAGGCCGAGGCCGAGGACGTGGCCGAGCAGCTGAGGATGCTCCCATGGAGAATGCAGTGCGCAAGGGTCGTGGCAAAGGCCCAGCAGCTGAGGATGCTCCAAAGGAGGATGCGGTGCGCAAGGGTCGCGGCAAAGGCCGAGCAGCTGAGGATGCAGTGCCTGCGGGTCGTGGCCGAGGCGGCCGGCGTCCTGTCGCTGAGGATGCTCCGATGGAGAATGCCAAGGGTCGTGGTCGTGCTGGACGAGCCGTTGTGGAAGCGGCCGTGGGTGGTGCGGATGCTCGGGCACTTGGGTGCCCCAAGTGTCGCTTTGCAAAGATCGGATGCTTGAGATGCCGTGATCCCAGTTATGTCGGTCGTGCCAGGAGCCGTGCCAATGCGCACCCGTGATTCGGACTCTCAGTCTCGAGATAACTCGAGTTTGATGTCTTAGACATGTGTGGGGCTGCATGACCAGCCTCTTCAGTGGTCATCTGCAGGCAGGGTAATCCTTGTGTGCACACGGGTATCTGCACATATGTCCCTGGATACGCACAAATCTCGAATATATGACCTATATATATTCATAATATACATGCAGCTTGTCCGGGCCATGTGTGCTTCTGGGGCTTTGCAAATCTGCCGATCAAGCCTAGGGTGTGGAAAAATCAGAAAGCTCAGCATGTGTTTCACAATCGCTCAAAGCCCCAAAGCCTGCATGCTTCAGATCCCGCCAGCCTTCGTGCCAGGTACTTTGAGAGCATCGATGAGCTTCGCCTGGAGGAAGCGACGACGCCAAGGAGAATCATCAGCAGGTGCTTCCAGCCTCTGCTCGTTGTGTGACGTATTCTGTGTGCAGTGGAATAGTATACAGCAGTGCCTGATACACATCATGCAGGTTTGGGAGCATGTCTGATGCACAAATGTGACGCTTGAAGTCTGAGTCGCAGCCTTCTTAGGGAATCCCGGTAGCGCAACTTTATACATGTTTCCCAGCCATGCTCGGAACTCACAGGGTGAGGCTTATCATGCAGCGCCTGATTTCAGTGCGATCGCCTGGGGTGCCCTGATTCAAGACTCACGAACTTCGAAGCTAGGCCGGCTAAGTGAGCTTTGCCAATCATGCAATCCCAGGTTCTGATAATGTTGATATTCCTCATCCTCCAGACCGAGAATCTCAATGTCGACGAGGTGGGCCAATATGGATCCAGCAGCCAGTTGCATTGCAGTTGCATAATGTAAATACCTAGGCGCTTCTTTTCGTGGGATTATAAGGCTCTCGACGGATGTGAAGTATGCGCTGGGCTGGGGATGCTGAGCCGAGTTTTACGTGTACATGGGGGGCTACGGTTTCCAGCGATGGATGTGCGCTACTGGAAGTCCTATGCCGGCTTCCGGCCCACTTGCAACAACCCACTGGATATATTGGGTCGGGCTGGGTTCACGTGCCTAAGCTTTCTGTATAGACCCCCCTGCAAAGTTCGAAATCCCTGCACATAAACCCCCTTAATTTGTATATTAATTATATCTCAGGTTGCTGCTACTTCAAGCACTCCGGACGAAACCGGGTGGCCTCTTCCACTTTGGATTGGTATGTTCGAGCTGGATATCTTTGTGTAAATACGCCTCCGGCCGCCGATTCCTGTGTCCCCATGGGGACACTTCTTTACAGTGGGTCCAGGACGGAAACGTGATGGTCTCGAGGCTTCCGAAAACTTCTGTATGGTGTCCTTGTAATAATAACTATTCTAAATAGATAGGACGGGGTTCGGGTTACTTCATTGCAGGTTTTGCTTGGTCGCCTACCTGTTGATGGCACGTGGATGTCATTGGTGCCTGGAACAGCCCGTATCCTCATTAATGTTCCGCCACAAAAGGTTCCAGGAATTGTGCAAAGTGGTAAAAGTCCCTCGGCTATAATCTAATTCCTAGCAATTATATGGGATCCTGTATATAGTTATAGAGTTATATCTCGTAATTACGAGATATAACTCTATAACTATATACAGGATCCAGCCAACGACCCCAACCACCCAAAACCCCAAACTGCACCCTGAACTCTCTCCAGACCAAGGTTTTTCGCCAGGCTTTCTGGTTGGGGAAGCTCGGAGCAGCGACGCCGAAGAGGTCGATTTTGTGGAGCTCCTCGCGTGCCGTTTTGGCTTTCCGAAAGTTCTCCCGTTTGTCGAAGCTTGAGCGAGGGATGTGCCGAGGAGATTTGGTTCGTCGCTACAGGGATCAGAAGGGGAAAACTCGGTTCACTGGACAGAGTAGAAAGCTGAAGCGATCCCAGTGCCCGGTCTGCAATCTATAAAACTTCTCTAGATCGTATATAGTTATAATCTTTAGAGCCCACCTGAACCCTGAACAAACTCCATCGCCCAGGCAGTACCCCTTTGGCTTCGCCCTGCGCTTCGCGAAGCTGTGGCATTGCTTCCAAGACTCGAGGATTGAATGGAGGCAGGAGCCAGAGCAGGCAGGTTGTCGGGATCGCAGATAGCCGCACCAATTCCTAAGTTGTTCTGTTTCCGTGTGTGCGCATACATGTGCAGTTCACTTGTTTGGAGGTGAGGAGCCTTTGTCGTTATGATGATATCAAAGACATTATTTATCGACGTGTGCCACAAGACCTATGGCATGATGCGAGGGTAGGGGAGGTCCTGGAGTATGTGTATGCCAACAAGAACCTGAATCTCAGCGATGATCAGAAGCAGATGCTGCATGCACTAGCACAGGACTTCGATGCTTAGATGTGGAGTGCTCGTCCTTGGGAGCAAATGTGGCTGTGCTCTTGTGTGGGGCCGGGTCAGGACACCGTTAAACCCTAAACCCCTAAACCCTAAACCCGTGTGTTTCTGCACATACCCGAAACGACACATGTCCATTATTTGGCTATTGTCGTGGGTATACACATCACCCATGTCCGGATCTCTTTATAGTGCCTGTAAACATATATATATATGCATAAAATACAAATAGAAGATATACATATACATATATGTTTGTATATATATATATA